AAAATTTCAAAGACTTTAATTCTCCAGGAAGACCTTCTGAAGGGCTCTAGAACTCACATCTGGAGGTCTACTTCCAAATGGGTTTGGGGCACGTGAACTGTGTGGCTTCCGAAGGTCGACTGATTACTTTTCCATTCTTTTGGGACCAGCGTCTTATAACATGGCAGCAAGAGAACTGAGATCCACTGAAAAAAAGTCCAAACATGCTGTGTATGAGTGGCATGGAAAGTGATCTGGAATGTTATCTGAGGAACACCTGGCAGAGAGCATGTCCTTACCCAAACAGTAATTTTATTGTATTTTTTTAAAAGATTTTGTTTATTTATTTTGACAGAGAGAGACACACAGCGAGGGGAGAGGGAACACAAGCAGGGAGAGTGGGAGAGGGAGAAGTAGGCTTCCCGCGGAGCAGAGAGCCTGATACGGGTCTCGATCCCAGGACCCTGGGATCATGACCTGAGCCGAAGGCAGATGTTTGACTACTGAGCCACCCAGGCGCCCCCCAAACAGTAATTTTAAAATACGCTTTGCACCGCTGTTGTGTGAATCTTCATGACTTCATCACTCTTTCATAGAGAGTGGTTTGGGACCAGTCAGATTCTCTCGTGTGAGAGTCTGACTGGAGAGACACAGGTATGGAGAGGTTAAGTCAGGTTCATGGCTAAGAGCTGGACGAAGGGTTGTGAGCTGGTCCCCTGGCGTTGCCTGACCCTGCTTTAACTCTCTCTTAGTTTCTTTTTTTTTTTTAATTTTATTTATTTATTTTTTTGAGAGAGAGAGAGAATGAGAGATAGAGAGCACAAGGGGGAAGAAGGTCAGAGGGAGAAGCAGACTCCCTGCTGAGCAGAGAGCCCGATGCGGGACTCGATCCCGGGACTCCAGGATCATGACCCGAGCCAAAGGCAGTCGCTTAATCAACTGAGCTACCCAGGCACCCTCTCTCTCAGTTTCTGTGAGATACGCCAGTATCTTTCCTCTCTTTTGATTTTTCATTTTTTGCTTAAGCTAATTTGAAGTGTGTTTCAGATACTTGCATTTATGAGGCGCTTCAGTTAAACAATTATAATAAGGCATCTTCTTACTACAATGAGGGAAAAAAAAAGGAATTTCCTTCTCAGGAACTTGGCTGGTAACACCAACAGCCCAGCGTCAACTGTCAAAGAATTTCATCAAAATTTCAGTTCTGCTTTGAAGAAGTTCCCAATTCAAACCAAAAGATGGGGAGAGTAGGAGATGATCCATGGCCCAATTTGGTTGGTAAATGATCCATTTCTGATATTTAGTTACCCAACCAAATGCCACCACAGGCCAGGGTACCACGGATAGCCAATTCTTCAGCAAAATTCTGAGTACAGAAGCCAAGCAGGGGAAGATAGGAGTCAGGACCATCTGGGAAGACAGCTGCTTGTTGTAAGTGGGACGGCCAACAGAGCGACAGATCGTAATCAGGAAATATGTTGAAAATGAAACTACAAGGTGTATTAAGGACCAGGATCCTAGGTGTGAGTTAGATCCCTCTCTTCAGGCAAGGCACTGTGGGTCAGGTAGACTAATAAATTTGGAAAGGTAAGGGAGTTCATCAAATCAGAAACAAACATAAGTTTAAAGCCCCAATTATATGGTTCTAGACTTAGGGGTAATCTCTTCAAGTTTGGAAGAGATTGTTTGGGAGCAGTTAAAATGAGGTCCTACTTTTTTTTTTTTTTTAAGATTTATTTATTTATTTATTTGACAGCGAGAGCAGGAACACAAGCAGGGAGAGGGAGAAGCAGGCCTCCTGCAGAGCAGGGAGCCTGATGCGGGGCTTGATCCCAGGACCCTGGGATCATGATCTGAACCAAAGGCAGATGCTTAACAACTGAGCCACCCAGGCGCCCCAAGGTCCTACTTTTTATATAATAAACTCATAGAACTCATAGCCCCCAAACTGGTACCCTCCAAAATAAAGAGGAAGTAATGGAAAATCAATGCATATATGATTATAACTGCCCCTTCCAGGGGTGCCCGGCTGGTTCAGTCGGTAGAGCACGTGACTGTTGATCTTGGGGTTGTGAGTTCAAGCCCCATGTTGGGTGTTGAGATCACTTAAAAAAATTAAATTTTTTTTTTTTAAAGATTTTATTTATTTGATAGAGATAGACACAGTGAGAGAGGGAACACAAGCAGGGGGAGTGGGAGAGGGAGAAGCAGGCTTCCCGTTAAGCAAGGAGCCCGATGAGGGGCTCAATCCCAGGACCCTGAGATCATGACCTGAGCCGAAGGCAGACGCTTAACAACTAAGCCACCCAGGCGCCCCTAAAAAAATTAAATCTTAAAAACAAATAACTGCCCCTTTCAACATAGAAACAGGCACACATATGCTATACCACAGTGTGAGACTGGATGGAACACATCATTGGTTTAGTCCAGAATAACATTACTTGCTCCTATTTTTTAAAATTAATTAATTAAGGGCGCCTGGGTGGCTCAGTCGTTAAGCGTCTGCCTTTGGCTCAGGTCATGATCCCAGGGTCCTGGGATCAAGCCCCGCATCGGGCTCCCTGCTCTGTGGGAAGCCTGCTTCTCCCTCTCCCACTCCCCCTGCTTGTGTTCCCTCTCTCTCTGTGTCTCTCTCTGTCAAATAAATAAATAAAATCTTTAAAAAAAATTAAAAAAAATAAATAAAATTAATTAATTTTTATGTAAGTTCTATGCCTAACGTGGGGCTTGAACTCATGACCCTGAGATCAAGAGCCGCATGCTCTTCTGACGGAGCCAGCCAGGTTACATTAATATTGACATTCCTCTGGACAGGGAAACAGAAATATTTAGTAGGAGACTCCTCTCTTAAAAAATATTATTGATGATCAAGGATGATGATAATGATGTTCTTATTTTATAGACATGACAAATTGTGATTTAATGCTTTTTAAAGATTTTTCTTTTTTTTTTAAGATTTTATTTATTCACTTGAGAGAGAGTGTGTGAGAGACAGAGAGAAAACATGAGTGGTAGGGAGGGGCAGAGGGAAAGGGAGAAGCAGGCTCCCCACTGAGCAGGGACCCTGACGCCAGGCTCAATCCCAGGACCCCGAGATCATGCCCTGAGCCAAAGGCAGATGCTTAACCGACTGAGCCACCCAGGCGCCCCCCCTTGTGCCTTGTTCTATCTCCACCAACCACCCAGAGCAGCATCTGACACATCGTTGGTGCTTAATACCTAAAAGCTGATGGAAGGGCGCCTGGCTGGTTCGGTCAGTAGAACATGCAACTCTTGATCTCAGGGTTGTGAATGCAAGCCCCACCTTGGACATAGAGCCTGCTTTAAAAATGAATAAATAAATGAAAGCTGATGGAACTCCTGAGCAAACGGACGGATGTGAGTTAGTGCTGAACTGGTCCGAGTTTCCCAGCCAGGCTCGCTGCTGACTCATGCATGGGAAGCTGGGGGAAGGTACTCCTTTCCTCTGAGCTCATGTCTGCCACTTCTTTCTCTTTGAGGTGATCTCTGCTTTAACTTTCTACTTCTAGGAATCAACAGGAGAACCGGGCAAGCAAAGCACTCCGAAAGCACTTCAATATGAGAACGTCTGTCTGTTCTTCATTTTTTGCCATTTAAGCTCTGGCTTGGAGTCTGAGTCTCTCCCTTTCTTATCTGTATCTGAGTCAGGATGGCAAAGCAAGCCGCATCTTGCTAAGGAATCAAGGAGGGACAGGCTGGGAATGAAAGCGTAACAGAAACTTGGACTGATCACAGACTCAAACCGGTACATCTCCTTTCCATCCCAGAACTGGAAACAGAAACTGTTCTATAGGAAATTCTTTCTTCTCCCTCCCTCTTCTGCAAACACCCTGGTCTGTCCCAATTCTTTTTTAATACACAAATAGTCGTAGCAATATTCACCCTAAATAGAATGTACAGGGCCCCTGCAACTCTGTTTGCACCACCCTTCCAAATTAAATGATTTTTACTTATTCCGAGCCCTTCCTCATCCTGGTCCTAATGCAGGTGCAATTTTTACTTAACTCTCTTGATGGAGTTCAGCGTCTACCTCCTTTCCTTACTTGACAGTATTTGGTATGTTCTGTCGGGACACAGTTAACAACCCATAAAGGTCTCCGCTTAAGTAAGAAGTCCCTTTCTGTGAACCATCACCCAGACACATGCAACACCAGACTGTGTGTCTCACATCAGAATTTATTGAAGTGGTAGATTTCTTATAAGGACAGGAACACAAGCAAATGAATCAGGAGGAACCTTCTCCTTCTAACCATTGGGCAACATTTCCCTTTTAACGACAAAACCAAACAGGTGGGAAACAGCTGTCTTCTCTGAAGCCTCTAACCCTCAGCCTTCCAATTTGTCAACAGGAGAGGAATGGATTAGGCGCAGGTCGCTGCAAAACGCCTTTTCTTTCTCTCAGTAAAACTGTTTTGCTCAGTCCTGCCCTGGCTAATCCCTCTCTTACCGCAACCGGAAACTCAGATATTAACCAAAGCTTACGAGTCTCCTGCCCGGTGCTTTTCTGCTAAAGCTTGGCTGAAAGATGAATTGGTCCCTTGGAATGTGGGTGACCTACTAGCTTCTTTAATGATTCCTGGCCTCCGCCCAAGGGCCATAACTCCCCTCCAACCACTTAGATTTCCTTATCCCGGCTAGAGCCCGACCGACTGGGTATCGCCCCCAGGAGCTGAGAGCCATCCCTGCCTCAGGCAGGTGAGGGAAGGAGGCCAGTGAATCACGGGTGCTCATGGGCGTCTCCCTGGCTCCAGCTCTACTCGGCAGAAGTGTGGACAGTTTGGCCGTCTTCAGTTCCGTGAGTGCCAGAGACTGAGCGGAAGTCTCAAACTTTACTCTCTGTTCCCCCCAAGAGTCCTCTGGTGACGCTCCACAACCAGGCAGCCCACTCTGCCACACTCTTTCTCTAAATCCGATTCTCCGAATCTGGAAATTCCAGGAAACCACAGGCCACGTCTCATGATGTTACTCGGTGCACCCAGCCAAACTCTTTTCCCAGAGACCTTGGTTCTTGGTGACCATCTCACTTCTTGGCTCGGGTATTTAGCGAGAAGCTGGGGTCGGATAAGACGGGTTCCATGGCTCACCGGCGTGGGCCACTAAATTGTCTGGCACACTCCTGGTGGCGCTCAGATCCCCCGTGAGCTCCATGCTTGTGCTCTGGTTATTATCTGACTGTTGGGGCGTCTTCTCCCGCAGGTAGCGGTTGATCAGGGTGGAGAAGAAGTTGGGAAAAGATGGGCTGGAGAAGTAGTACACCAAAGGGTCCAGCATGCTGTTCATGTAGGTGAAGCTAAGGGTGATGAAAAACGCCAGGTCAACCGAGCGATAGATGTCACAGTTCCTCGTGCCCACGGTGTGCAAGAGCCAGAAAATGCGTATGCGCACAGCCACGCTGGGCAGGAAACAGATGATGAAGACAATGGCCACCACCATGATGAAGTTGATGGCCCTCCTGATCTTGGCATGTCTGTCCATTTGTCGCTGGCGCAGGCTCCAGATGATTCTGGCCGAGCAGAACAGGATGATGCCCAGGGGCAGGGTGAACTCCAGGAGGAACATGGCATCATGCCACCTGAAGGTATGGCAGATGCTAAAGCTGCTGCACAAATTCGCATCTTGGTTCCTGATCAACATTTTTTTGGACAGGAGGTGACCCGTGAGGCCGATGGTGACACCCCACAAGAGGCAGGATATAATGGCAGCTGTCCGATTCGAGATCTTGTTCAGAGCGTGGTGAGGATGGACCACCCGGAAGTACCTGTCCACAGCCACCACAGTGAGGAAGATGATGCTGCCCTGGCGGTTCATGGCCAGCATGAACAGCATCAGCCGGCAAGGGATGTCCCCGAACCTCCAGTCCCACTTCCTCACATAGTTGTCTGTCAAGAATGGCAGGCAGATGATCAGGAGAAAGTCAGCCACAGCCAAGTTGAACAGGAAAATCCGGCTGGATTTCCAGGACTTGAGGTGAAAGCAGAAAATCCACAGGGCAAGGCCATTGCCCAGGAGCCCGAACACAAACTCCAGCCCCAACACCGTCGGCAGCACATTGGCTATGAAGTCATCCCGAAACACACAGCAGTTTTTCTTGTCTATTTCCAGAAAATGATTCTGCTGCTGGTGCGGGTTCATGAGTGGAATGAGTCGGTCCTAGCGAGTGCTCAAGGAAAGAGGCGTGTGTCTGAGTGGCGAACGCAAGGTTCAGCTCCCGCCTTTATGTCATGTCAGGGTGATGAAACTGGTGACTGAGTGCTTACCAGGAAACTACGAAATCCCTTAAAAAAAAAAAAAAAGCCAGCAAGGCTCTTATGCAATCTGCTGTTTGCATAAACAAGTAATAAAAATCCCCCGGGGAAGACAGGAACCCACAAAGTTTCCTAAATGTAAAGGATAAGTTTAGGCAAGCCGACTGTCATTTGTGAGTTATGGCAATGCGGAGGGCTTCCCTTTGGAAGGCTGTGTGCCAGCATCCCGAGCGCTTAGCTTTGGAGAACTGATTCACTGTTGGGTGGTTGACTTATATAATTAACAAAATGACAACGGCAATAATAATTTCCCATGCTAAACAGCATGGTTTTCCAGAAATGTTAAGAACGACTATGTAGTATTAGCATGCATATGACTTAAGAAACAGTAACATGTATATGATTTCTTTGGAACCACCAAGGAGACAGTAACTGTCTATTTTATGAGGACAGATGTGTTGCATTTGATGTTGCCCTGCCATATTCTCTGTACGAGCACGGATTGCTTTTCCACACCAGAACTTTGCAATTAAGCTCTAGTTAGGAGAAAGGAGAAAAGATACTTGAGAACAGCATACAATTTCATAAGATGTTTGAAAACTTCAACCCAGTTTGGATTGCCAGTGGTATGTTACAATAAACTGAGTTTTTGTTTGTTTTGTGTTAGACTTTGATAGGCTTCTGTGCTCAAGTAAGCAATTTATTTTGAAGTATGTGATTTTTATTTTTATCTATTTATTTATTTATTTAAATATTTTATTATTTACTTAGAGAGAGACAGAGAGAGAGGGAATACAAGCAGGGGGAGTGGGAGAAGGAGAAGCAGGCTTCCCGCGGAGCAGGAAGCCTGATGTGGGGCCTGATCCCAGGACCCTGGGACCATGACCTGAGCTGAAGGCAGATGCCTAACGACTGAGCCACCCAGGTACCCCTATTTTTATTTTTTTAAAGATTTATTTGTTTATTTATTTATTTCAGTGAGAGAGAGAGAGCATGAGTGGGAGGTGCAGAGGGAGAGAGAATCTCAAGCGGACTCTGTGCTGAACGTGGAGCCTGAAGCGGGGCTTGATCTCATGACCCTGAGATCTCAACCCGAGCTGAAACCAAGAGTCAGACGCTCAACTGACTGCACCACACAGGCGCCCTTAAAGTATGTGATTCTTAAAAATCAATAAGCGTTATTTTTTTAGAGTTTTAGATTCATAGCAAAATTGAGCAGAAAGTACAAAGAGTTCCTGTATCCTCCTGTCCCCCCACCCACAGCCTCGCCCCACTAAGTGCATGTGCATGATATTTTAAAAGCCTCTATTTTCAGAAAATCAAACTTAAAGGGATGGGACCTTTGAGGACTTTGAACTCTGCCTCACAGCAGATCACCATTTCACACATCATTTCTTTGCTTTTTAGTATAATTGGGTGTAACCCTATGGAACATTTCTACCCTTTAATATTTTGGCTATGATCCTCGCTGAGCAAGAGGTTCTAAAATGTGTTGCTTCTACTTTGAGTTAAAAATAGGAAACTGGGGGTGCCTGCCTGGCTTAGCCGATTTAGTATCTGCCTTCAGCTCAAGTTGTGATTCTGGGGTCCTGGGATCGAGCCCTGCGTTGAGCTCCCTGCTCAGCAGGAAGCTTGCTTCTCCCTCTCCCTCTGCCGCTCCCCCTGCTTGTGCTCTCTCTCTCTCTATCAAATAGATAAATAAAATATTTTTTAAAAAAGAATAATATACACAGGAATAAATTTAACCAAGGAGGTGAAACACCTGTACCCTGAAAACTGTAAGACATTGATGAAAGACATTGAAGAAGACACAAAGAAATGGAAAGACAAATTCCATGCTGATGGATTGGAAGAACAAATATTGTTGCTGTTTTTTTTTTTAAATTTTATTTATTTGAGAGAGAGAGAATGAGAGAGAGAGCACTTGAGAGGGGGGAGGGTCAGAGGGAGAAGCAGACTCTCTGCCAAGCACGGAGCCCGATGCGGGACTCGATCCAGGGACTCCAGGATCATGACCTGAGCCAAAGGCAGTCGCTTAACCAACTGAGCCACCCAGGCGCCCAGGAAGAACAAATATTGTTAAAATTTCTATACTACCCAAAGAAATCTACAGATTCAATGTGCTATCAAAATTCCAATGGCATTTTCTGTAGAAATAGAACAATAATTTATTTTTTTGTAGAAATAGAACAAAAATTCCAGTAACATTTTTTTTTGTAGAATAGAACAAATAATTCAATAGAAAAAAAATAACAATTTTGTGTACAGAGCCACAAAAGACCCCGAGTAGCCAAAGCAATCTTGGGAACGAAGAACAAAGCTAGGGTCATCACACTACTGATTTCAAGCTATATTCCAAAGCTATAGTAATCAAAACAGGGTGGTATTGGCATAAAAACAGACACACAGATCAATGGAATAAAATAGAGAGCCCAGAAATAAACCCATGGAAATATGGTCAATTAATTTACAACAAAGGAGCCAAGATACTGGGGAAAGGACAACCTCTTCGATAGATGTACTGGGAAAACTGGACAGCCACATGCAAATTACATTATACATGAAAATTAACTTATTTTTTCCCTCCCTCTTTTCCTCCATACACAAAAATTAACTTTAAAAAGGGGCTTGGTTAGGTGTCCAACTCTTGGTTTCCACTCAGGTCGTGATCTTATGGGTTGTGGGATTCAGCCCTGCATCAGGGTCCCCGCTCAGCAGGGAGTCTGCTTGAAGATTCTCTCCCTCTGCCCTTCTCCGCACTCACGTGCACATGCGCACGAGCGCGCGCTCTCTCTATTTAAAATAAATAAATCTTAAAAAACTTTTTTTTTAAAGATTTTATTTATTTATTTGAGAGAGAGAGAGAATGAGAGATAGCACGAGAGGGAAGAGGGTCAGAAGGAGAAGCAGACTCCCCTCTGAGCAGGAAGCCCGATGTGGGACTCGATCCTGTGACTCCAGGATCATGACCTGAGCCGAAGGCAGCCGCTTAACCAACTGAGCCACCCAGGCGCCCTAAATCTTAAAAAACATTTAACTTAAAATACATTAAAGACTGGAACGTGTGACCTGAACCCATAAAACTCCCTACATGGGCACTAAACTCCTTGACCTTCGTCTTCATAATGATTTCTTTGGATTTGACATCAAAGACAAAGACAAAAAAGCACAAATGAACAAGTGGGACTACATCAAACTCAAAAGCTTCTGCACAGCAAAGGAAACCATTAACAAAATGAAAAGGCAAGATACTGAATGGGAGAAAATATTTGCAAATTATATATCTGGTAAGGGATTAACATCCAAAATATACAAATAATTCATACAAAACAGTTTGATTAAAAAATGGACAGAGAATCTGAATAGACATTTTTTCTAAAGAAAACATATGGATGACAAATAGGCACATGAAAAATGCTCAACATCACTAGTCATCAGGGAAATGTAAATCTATACCACAATGTAATATCACCTCACACCTGTTAGAATGGCTATTATCAAGAAGACAATAAATAACAGGTGTTGGTGGGGCTGTGGAGGAAAGGGAACCCTCTTGTGCTGTTGGTGGGAATGGATATTGGTGCAGCCATTATGGGAAACAGTATGGAGGTTTCTCAAAAAATTAAAAAAAGAAATACCATACCATCCAGCAATCCCATTTCTGGGTATTTATCTGAAGAAAACGAAAACACTAACTTGAAAAGGTATCTGCATGGCCCATGTTCCTTGTAGCATTATTCACAATAGCCAAGATATGGAAAAAACCTAAGTGTCCATAGGCAGATGAATGGGTTAAAAAAAAGTGTATCTATCATCTATCTATCTATCTATCTATCTATGCATGGAATATTATTGAACCATAAAAAAGAATGAAATTATTAAACCATAAAAAAGAATGCAATCTGACCATTTGTGACAACATAGATGGACTGTGAGGGTATTTATGCTAAGGGAAATAAGTCAGATGGAAAAAGGTAAATACCCTATGATCTCTCTTACATATGGAATCATAAAAAAGAAACTCATGGATACAGAGAACAGATTGGTGGTTGCTAGAGGCAGGGGGTGGAGGGTGGGCAAAATGGCTGAAGGGAGTCCAAAGGTACAAACCTCCAGTTATAAAATAAATAAGTCCTGGGCATGTAACGTACACCATGGTGACTTTAGCTAATAATACTGTATTGCATATTTGAAAGTTGTGGAGAGTAAATCTTAAAAGTCCTCAGCACAAGAAAAAATTCTGTAACTATGTACAGTGACAGAGTTAACTAGACTCATTGTGGTGATCATTTCTCAATATACACAAATATCAAATCTTTATGTTGTACCTGAAACCAATGTAATGTTTTATGTCAATTAAAAAAAAAGTTAAGGTGATGTTGGCTCGTACATTACAGAGAGCTTCCGATATTGCAGACCCCATGCATAAATGCCTTATTTTATTTTTTTAAAAGATTTTATTTAGGGCGCCTGGGTGGCTCAGTTGGTTAAGCGACTGCCTTTGGCTCAGGTCATGATCCTGGAGTCCCGGGATCGAGTCCCGCATCGGGCTCCCTGCTCAGCAGGCAGTCTGCTTCTCCCTCTGACCCTCCCCCCTCTCATGTGCTCTCTCCCTCTCATTCTCTCTCTCAAGTAAATAAATAAATAAAATCTTTTTAAAAAAAGATTTTATTTATTTATTTATCAGAGAGAGAAAGAGAGCGAGAGAGCACGAGCAGGGGGAGCGGCAGGCAGAGGGAGAAGGAGGCTCCCTGCTGAGCGGGGGTGGGGGTGGGGGGGACTCTGGACTCCATCCCAGGACCCTGGGATCATGACCTGAGCTGAAGGCAGATGCTTAACCGATTGAGCCACCCAGGCGCCCCCTCTTCTCTTTTCTTTTCAAAGTTC